TATATATATATATATATATATATATATATATATATATATATATATATGTTTATATATGATTATATATGTGCAATTTTTCTTATTTCTTCAAATTCCACTTTTTTAAAAAAAGAGAATGCAAAAATTATTTATTTAATTATATTTCAATTATTCTTCTTATTATTTGTTCTGTATATACGAAGAGATATATGAGAACAAAAACATATATACATAATCATATATAAAACCCGCATATTTTAAATATAAAAGTGGTTCCGATGAAATTGGCTGAAATTGAAATATGTTATAGTTTAGGTGGTGTCGATCAAAAGTTTTTATGAGCATTAAGTCCAAAAATCGAAACTATAAATGATAGAATTGCTTAAAGTGAGTGTCATTGGAAACCATTAAGATACGAGATTTCCACATTTCCTGCTCTACGTTACAGGATTCGATTATGCTGTTAACAATCTAAATACACGTATAAATATTTTTCGTATTACGTAATCAATTTTTTTTCAGCCAATTTCACCAAAGCCAGTTTTACATTTAAAATGTGCGAGGTCCTTTTTATACGATTATATATTTTTCCTGGGTTATGATAAAAAATAAATTATCATCAATTATAAATTTTTTATATTAAAGATTCAGAATTTTTTTGCTTCACGTAAGATTTCTTATACCTTTCTGAAGAGGATGTCCATTTAGGGCTCTTAAATCGAACGCTAAGATCAGATTTCAGATCGAGAAAAAGTTAACATTATTCGTAATCACTCACACCTTAATATCAAACACCTTGGTATATAAAGGCATCTATAGTACATTTTAATTGACGTTATAAATTTATAAATGATATATATACTGTATATATATAAAATGTCTTTGGAAAAAATGGATGAATTGAAGTAAATTTGGAGAAAATTCCTTGAATGAAATTATATGTGTAAGATATTCAAAATTAAGATTGAAAGATAATTTTTGTCTTTTCTATTCCTCTAAATATAAACATTATTTAACATAATTAAAATTAGAAAATATAAACTGTATGTCCCAAAACCACCGGATGTCGTTTTAATAATAGATTTTCTGGACAATTTGGAGACGATTTTTCCTCAGCCAAAATGTCAAAGGGAGAAAGTCATCTTTTTATTACAAGTTTAAAATTTTTGCCAGTATATATTAAAAAAATTTCTCAAAAACAATGCATTTCCGGAAATTTTGGTAATGAAAAAAATGCTTATTTTTTACGAAGAAGTACGGTAGTACCGAACTGTACTATATGTCACTTGCTTAGCATTCTTACCTTATACATATATTAACATATATCACGATAAAAATAACGTTATATAAGCACACACATTCGTTACGTCAAAACGTAAAATATATTACATTAAGTATTATATTGTTGCAAAAGTTTTTTACATACAATAAAATTCAAAATAAAAATTTTTTTACCAAAATTTAAAATAATTTGCATTAATTAAAATAGTTATGCTATATATTGTGCTTGGCTTCAATGTACTTCTTCTTTTTCCGTTCTCTACAATTTTAAATTCTTGATTTTATATCTTTTGCACTAATTTAATACATACATATACACACACATATACATTGATACATACACGTATATATTCTAGGTATTACATTACTTTATTAATTTTTTGTTCTTTTTTTTTACAAAAATGTTACATTTTATTTACTACACTTCAAAAAAAACTGAATGTAAATGATGTTAGAATGAAAAGAAGACTTAACGAATAAAATATATTCGCAAACAAAGGAAAGAGAGAATATATTATTTAATTAATATTATTTAGAAATATATTTTGTTCTCTCTAATCTTTTTCCTATTCTTTTTTTCTTTACAACAGCAGTGATGTGTTGTTATTAATCATGTCACATATTTAATACACGTTACATATTTAATTCTATAAATTAAATTATATATATACGTATATGTGTATATTTAAGTCCATCGAAAGATTCGTTCATTTTTTCTCCCATATAGCTTTTGATATTAATAAAAGAAAAAGCGAAATAAACGAATTTCTCGATCAATATTGAAAATATTTATACAGACTTTCAATATATTTTACATTTGTCTTCTATATTGACGATCACACTATATGTTTGTTGTGCTGCTTAATAAATCATTAAATATAGAAACTCCATTTGTAAATTTTCCATATCCCGATATCGACGCGTTATGTCAAGTAAACAATATCAAAAAGACAAATTGTGATTAGATGAGATGAGATGTGAGAAAGGAATTAATTAAAATCGAAAATCGATAAATTTTTCGTTTATTAATAATAATAATAATCACGATAAATAATCAACAATATCTATGTCCAAGCTGTGCTTTGATTCAATGTTCATATTAAGATATATCATTTCTCTATTTCACAGCTAGATTTCCAGCTAATCTCTCCTCCGTTTCTGAATTCGACACTTCTCTTGATAATCGCCTAAAACTCAAAAGAAACAGGAGATCTGTTTATTTCAGTTACACTTTTCTTTCGTTGTAAAATAAAATATAAATGTATATAAAGATGTATATATTTCAAAGAAAAGAGAAGACAGAAGAAGTGCATCTGAAACAAACAGATTTAGAGATACAAGCCGGTGTAATTTCGCCAAATTTAAATTTCGATCATTTCGAAATTTCTTTTCGAAAGAATGCTTCGCATTATGCTATCAACGTGATAACACGAAGAAGATAGTTCGAGCCTTTGTATCAAGCCAGCCATCTCTCAGCAAGGATTTATATAAATACACTGCAAAAAAAGAGAAAAAAAATTACAGAATAATTATCTTTATAACACGCGCACCACACCTAGCTAATAAATCAATTTATCCGAAAATTCTCTTCATGTCCAAGTTTGCTCTACAATAAACGCATTCTATGCAGTATATCTTATGTAGTAGTTTAGCTTTTTTAATCACATTTATTCGATTTGAATATAATTGTTTAGAACGGTGTGACTCGTATCTGTACACATATATGGCTAGAGAATGTCAGTTTAATATTTCTATCATTGATACGTTTGCAATTTTTTTGTGCAAGATGTACTTTCTTTTCTTCAAAATCGGAAGACATTTAGCAGAGCACATCCCATGTATTTCTCCAAAACAAAACGGAATAGACGACGTGTGATTTTATTTAAAACTAAACGTGAGAGATATATAGCATTGATAAAAAGAAAAAAAAAAAGAAAGGGTTTTTTTTTTTTTAGTGGTCTAAAAACTTAATTTTAATGCCTTCAACACGTCCATAAAATTCAAATTTATTTTCAAAATCTTTAACTTTTCTAGATTATTCTCTTTTCAAATTTTACACACGCCATTTTGTTTTCACCTCTAGTTAAAAAAAAAAAGAAAATCCGAACTACTTGACTTCTATCTTTTTGGACGCAATGATATGTATACATGCAAGATAACTGCGTGACCCGGAATTCAAATGTAAAAGTTTGATTTTGTATGTATGTGTGTGTGTGTTATGTGTATGTATATATGAAACATGATATACACCGGGTGATTCATATCAATTGAACCAGCTGAATAATTTGAAAACAAAGCATTTTTGTGAAAAATGTTTTAGGTAAAAGTTATTTGATTTTAATGAGAATGTAATGATAACTTTAGTTTGACATGAACAGAAATATGTCAAGACTTACTCTTTGAAATTTTTGAATTAAAATCCTTTTTTTTTTAATTTTATATTCTTGTAACTGGCAGCCACAAGATATTTTCAAAATAATGGTTATAAACCTTTGTACGTCATTTAATCTAAGGAATACATAGCTTAAAAGTTGAGGTCGACATTACACTGCGTAGAATTACTGCAGATATACATTCCAAAGATATGATTTCACCCTGTGTCTATGTGTGTATGTACATTTTTGAATTTTTAAATCTAAAAAATTATATTTTTATATTTTCGATTTTTTGCAGCTTTTCTATTCTGTCAAAAACATCAACAAATGGATTTGATTTTCGCATAACTGCCTTTCTTACAATAGTTAACATATTACAAAGGTGTTGCTAATAGCAACTCAATAATATAGATATAGATGCATTTTTAATATATATATTATTTTACATTTCAATATTATTTATTTTTTCAAATGTTGTAATTATATTTTGAAAATCAGAATTATGTTACAAATTATTTCGTAATTCTTGCAAAACGAAGGATCTAATATGATATATAAGCCCTCTCTTCTTAACCTTAGAAAGTTTTCTTTTTCTTATCACATGTGTTCTTTTTTTCGAAAAGAATTCGAATGTTCGATTGTTTTCCGTATAACTGATTTCGGGAACATGTTTAACACGCAAAAAGAGCTTTCTTCATTATTGAAGCGATTTCATTAATGCATCAAAAAATCCGTTCGCCATGTACATGTCATTAAAAGTATGATAAATCGCTCCGTTGGGTCAATCAGAAGTTCGTCATCTACGATTAAAAAAAAAAAAAAAAAAAAAAGATTTGGACAGCCGAGAATCCGAAGAGTCATAGTATAATAATAGCGACAGAGTGCTAGGGACAATGACTTAACGCGCCGAGATATGACCGATAGGCACGAATATGTCTTCTCGCTAAATGCTCCGGCTTGCTAGCTAACATTCTTTCTAATTATGCTGGCGTATAATAGCGTTTAGCCATTTTGCGGCGAGTCGATAGGTTTTTATATCTGAAAAAGATATCTTTCGTAATGTATTTTTTCGTTTATCAGTAGTAGCCATTAATCTATGAAAGAAATTCGTTAGAAATCTAAACACAAGACAGAGAACATTCTTTCCTTGATAATTTACTTACAAGATCATTTCAGTCGAGACAAAACATGGACTACTAGTTTTATTGATGTATTAGTATCATTATTACTTGTCATTTTTATATTCATTGTTATTTTGTTACTCATTCTTAATATTCTTGTCTTAATGTCTTCAGTCTGACTGAAACCTTGAGAAATTATAGTCTGAAAATGAAACTTGCCTTGCGAGTAGAGAGTATGATAATCCACTGCTTTTTGTTTTCTTATTTTAAACTGATCTCGCAGCAATGACCATGTACAAAGATCCGAAACCGATATAGTTCCGATTAAACCCAATTTCCCGTAAAAAGATATTATAAGACAGTTATCACTCTATTGATCTGCGAATAAATAAAAAAAAAGAATCTTCAAATATAAACTTAGTGAAATTATATCGATTTCGATCCTGTATTGTCTTGATAAAATAATGTTACCGGGTGTCATCTTTTTTAGTTTTCCATAACTAGAATCACGCGTTTAGCAGATATTATAATTATTAGAGAACGACCAATTCTTATATATACGCTAAATTACATCAATAGCACAATGGTCTTTCTCCAATCCTCATCGGTACCCTCCTCAAAGCTGATGTAATAACAAATTGCTAGACATTTAATTACACATTGTTTTAGTTTGCTTTCAACTAGAGTATGCCGGGTCGGTTATTTTTCGATTAAAGAAAAACCAGTTTCTGTGTGCATTTCTAAGTCAATTCGGCAAAAGAATAGCTTATTTGCCATCGAATTACGTTAATAGCACAATAGTCTTCCTTTAACCGTCGGTACTTTCTCAAGAATTAATTTTGCAGATATTTAACGCCGCCCAAAAATATCTACAAATAATCTAACGCGATATACATATACAGTTGAATGTTCGTATAGTAAACTCCCGTAATTTCTGCGACCTTGTATTGTGAAATAACACATAACATGATGTTCTGCCTTTACACTGCTGTCATTATTTATTATTTACCACATGACCACGTGATAAATTGAATGAGAAAGCAACATTTTCATTCTGCGCATGTGCCATTAAAAATAAGAGCGACAAAACTCACAATAAAAACATTCATTGGTCTCGAAAGAAATTCACGATACGGACATTTGACTGTTTTTATTACAGTTGCATTTAATTATCAGTTAAAGAGGGACCATTTTTTTATATAAACATAAGATATATAATTAAGAATTTGTCATCAAATTGCATCGGTCTGGTCTACGAAAGACAGTAGTATCCTTCAATTATTATCGGTATTCTTATTCATTTTAAATTGATACTTTCGTCGAGCTTTGATACCACGGTGTCTTAAAGTATAAAACGATGGTGATGCAAACGACATTACTAGAGACACATTAGATTACACATCCTCTTAGTTTATCTTTAACTAGAGTATAAACGCATTCTCAGCGGTTATTTAAAATTAAAGAAGGACCACTTCCTACATATATATATATACACTGAATCCGATTCGGCAACGATATAGTATAATTAAGGTTTCTGTGAGAGTCGTATTGTTTTATAGCATCAGAAATAGAAAATCATACGAGTTGTTTTTTCTCATGCGTAATATTGTGCACATAAATTTTTTTTACTTATCAACTTCAAGAAAAATATATTACAAAGAAGTAGATTAAACACTTTCCTTTTAGTAAATAATTTAATATAAACATATTTGCTTATATATATATATATAACATGTGCTGATTCTTTTTTTATTTGCAGATTGATATCTGAAAGTTTGATCTGTATTTTATAGTAAATAATGAGCTATATATATATCCCATATTTGCTATAAAATTAATTTTATGACAGATCGAGCTTTCAGATATCAATTCGCAAACGAAAAATCAGCATGTCTCATAAATTCCATTCTATCAAATACGAGTTGTGTATCATGCGACGAAGATGATTTACTTCAACATATACGATCCTTTCCTGATGTCATAAATATATCCAATATGACTACTACGGTGATGGATAAACCTTAATCTCGCCGAGTCGCGTCGCTGTATTACGCTACTTCTCGCTCTAGAAGGTGAAAAAATCTTATTTCTATAAACTCCGCAATGCAATATATCGCATTTACAACATGGACATCCTCGTCAGAAGAGAGATAGATTCGTCATGCCGCTGTAATCTGATTCTTTGATAACATTAAAAAAAAGAAAAAGAAAAAAGAACAAAGCGATTCAAGCCATGTTCGATTGGCTAGAGTCGGTGTTTTGCGTATTGGTACTGATAGTATTGGTGGTGGTGTTAGGATTGGTAACGCTATTATCACTAGAGTTACCGCTAGCGCTGGCGGCGGCGCCCGTGGCGTCCGATTGACCGCCACCTCCACCCCCGCCGCCCCCGCCAGGAGTTCCCTCCGTACCGGTGGTAGCGGTGGCCGATTGCATATACTTGGGTATCAGCATGCTGTTGAGGACCGGCTGAATGCGCAACTCATGTTCGGTGAAGTTAAACAGCGGCGGTAGTTCACGGCCGCTCGGAAGCCGTGTTCCTTGCTCACGCAACTCATTGAAGAAGGAATGCGCGCATGCCTGCAGTGGTGTCATACGCAGCGATGGTGTGTACTCTAGCAATCGTGCCACTAGATCCATCGCTTCTGGCGGTGTGCGCGCCCTGAATACCTGCAATCATCATCGAATCCACGTCAAATAGTGTTTTATATCTTAAATTCAACATTTAATTGTTATTCGATGATTATAACGTGAGCAATAAGAAATCCGTTACGTAATCATCTTTATTATGTATGATTTTATGGTAAAGCGGTAAGAAGAGTACGGGTGTAGTCCAATTAACGCTCCAATCCAGGATATTTCAAAGGCTTTTGCTTCTATGAGTCTAAATAGATTAATGAGAAATGCCAACTAAACTGTTTCCTGTTGCATACATCGTAAGATTTAATTAAAGATTGAAAGTTATATGAATAATTAGTAGCCAGAATAGGATATTAATAATGTAAAAATGTTTGACTTTAGCCCTTAATAGATATCATAAACTTTGATAAGCTTTTCATATCATGAAATCTGTAAAATATCACCTGATCTTTAATAAATGGTCTTATTTATTTTAAATTATAAAGATTATTATAAAGATTTATAATAAAGATTTATTATAAAGATTTCGTTCTTAGATACAATATATAATGTTTAATACATAATTTGACGCAAAATATGTTGTTGATTTTGGGATGTTATAATGTTTCAGCCTGTATATAAATAGAATTAAAATTTTTTTTTTTGAATCACATAGATGCCACTATTTATAAGATTTTAAGATCATATTGATTATTAATCTAAGGAAAAAATCATAAAATTGAAAATAGCGTATCCAGTGTTGCAATTGGCTACATTAAAAGTTTCATAAGACAGTGATTTTAATCATTCCATTTTGTAAGATTTCAGTTCCTATATTTCATTTTATGATGCTTAAAAAAATATCTTTTATATTTGTTGAGAATTGAAGATAAAATGATGATTATGATTGATACCATCCAGAAACATCTGTTCCATATGGAATTTAATACACACACGCATACACACATACATACAAGGTGTGGAAAAAATAACGAAACATCTATTCTACTTCGAAATCTATAGGTTTTTGAAAATAATTATTTTAAAGAAAAGTTGTTGGATTTCATATATTGCATCGAATGGTAGTATCATTCTGATTTTGCCAAGATCATATAAAGATCATTTTTAATATTTTAAACAGGAATTTCCATTTTTATTGCATATTCTTATAACTGATGTCGAGATGTTTTCAAAACGATATAATTAAATTCCCTTTCGTTGGGAGCTTCCTGACTTACAGAAAGTTCGACGGTTTACAACTTAAGAAGTTCTTAACGAAAGACGGTTTAACCATGACATTTTGAAAACGTTTCGACATCAGCTATAAGAATATGCAATAAAAGAGATTCTTGTTTAAAAAATTCCAGATGATGTTCACAAAGTGATCCAAGGTCAAAATAATATCATTCGACAATTGAATTGCAACACTTGAAACCTTATAACTTTTGTTTAAAACATTTTTTTCTAAAATCCGTACTTTTCGAAATAACAAGAGTATTCTGTTACTTTTTTCCTACCCTCTCTCTACGCGTGTGTGAGCGCGCGCGCAATCTTTCTATTTATGTAATGTTGTATCAGCATGATAGTCGAATAAGTACAATGTAAGTATGAATATGTATATATATATCTAAAATGAATAACACAGACTCCAAGCACTACTCTTGATAGACACGAAAGGCTAAAATATGTTATTCATTCCTTGTTTGACATAAATGCAAATCTCACCAGAATATCAGAGTAAGTGATACTCTTAATTATTTTCAGTCGCCACAACAAATACAAGAGGTACAGTAGATCGTTAGTAACGTTAACAGATGAGATGAACCGGCAACAAGGAGATTCTCATATAAGGAAGATGATTGTATAGAGAAAATAATAAAAATTATTTTTTTTTCTCTTTTTCTCTTATCCCTTTTTAAAGTTAGTTTACCGAATAGATTGGAGATAAATCTGCACGTTTGTCCGAATATCGAAATGGAAGTTTGGATGTTAGTACAATGAGCCAAGATAGAGAAACTTTGTACCAGTTATATGTTGATAAAACTTGTTGCAAGTCAGCCCACTTACTCTAATCTTCTGGTGCTCCGTGGAACACACAGGTGTTTCACTCATTCGTTGAAGCATATACTGCAAACCACGAGTACATGTATTGATGAATGGCATATCAAGCCGCTAATGCCGTTAATGCGTCATCGATAAAGTTTTAAACACGAAAAAAATACTTTCCTTTTTCCAAAAGTGTGCATTAAATAATTTCTTATTACAATATCTCATCTAAAATTCGACCCTACTTCTCTCCTTTCGTTATAAAATTAACTAGATCAACTCTTTTTTGTTATTAATCAGATCGTCTGAAATTTATATTTATCTAAAAAAAAATCCACATATTTTTAAAAAATTGAAGTAATTTCTATTACTTCTATTTTCAGATATATGGATTTAAGACGAAAATTGGCTCTTTAATTATTTATAACGAGTTTTTAGTCACAAAATGATAGACATATGTGTGAAATAAGAGACAATCACGAGATAAAGTGAAGTATTTGGAAAATGTCGCTGGGGATGTGTATGTCTGTATGTGTGTATGTGTAAGTATTATGTGTCAGGTACATAATAGTATTATGAAATTATTTGTAAGTGAAACAGTAAATTTTACCTTTTGCCAAGGATGCGACTTAATTTGTGGAAATTTGAATTCGGTATAGTTGGGATTCATCTCACGTATCTGATCGCGCGTAGGTGTACCAAGGACTTTGATAATTTCTACCAGCTGATCGACGCCGCTATCGCCGGGAAATATCGGTTGGCCTAGCAACAATTCTGCCAGCACGCAACCTGCGCTCCAAACATCTATCGAGAAAATGAGAGAAAAATATATCAAGAAAATTAAACTAGAAAAGAGATGTAATAAAAATATAACCCTATTGTAAAAGAGTATTACAATATACTAATAACAAAATATAAAAATTAAAAAAAAAAAATTGAATTTTCTACATTTTATCATGTGTTATGGAAGCCTAAGAGCTTAATTCTAGCAGGTATCTGCTAAAGATTAAAAAATGATAGAGCGCGTCTAAAGATGATTTCTCAAATTTTTAGATCGATCAAAATTTGTAGCTTACCAATCTTTGTAGTATAATCGATAGCACCAAAGATGAGCTCAGGTGCACGATAATAGCGACTGCAAATGTAAGACACATTGGGCTCGCCTTTCACTAAGTGTTTAGCCGAACCGAAATCGCATAGCTTCAAGACGCCGGTGTCCGGATCTAAGAGTAGATTCTGCGGCTTAATATCTCTGTGGCAGATACCCAACGAGTGGATGTACGCCAACGAACGGAACAGTTGATACATATATAGCTGCAAAAAAAAAATCAAAGCTTATCTTCATCTCTTTTATACTATATACTATATATATACAATATGTTATGACATAAGTTTACAAAATTTTTTTCTGTTCGACTATTAAAATTTTACATGATTTGAGTTAAGATCGGTGTAAGCCAGATCGGTTTCTATCTATAATATATGAAAATAATTTTGTACGAAAGGACTAATTATTTTAAATAATTTTTTTATTTAAATTAATGAATAAAGTTAAAAATTTAAATTATTTATTTATTAAGTTTAATTTATTTTAAAAAAAATTAAATAATTATTATTATTATTATAAAAATATAAATAGTAAAAATTGATAAATATTAATTAATATATAAAATTAAAATTACTTTGGCAGATAAGTGTATTAAGTTTAGAATTTAATTAATATATATATAAAATATTAAAAATATATAAGTAATAATTTTATATGAGTTTTATCAGTATATTAAATTAAATATATTAAATTTATTAATTTTATTAATTATATTATTAGTAGGAGTTGCATTTTTAACTTTGTTAGAGCGTAAAATTTTAGGATATGTACAAATGCGAAAAGGTCCTAATAAGGTTAGAATTATTGGGATTTCAAATCATTATATAGCAAAATTATAAATTTTACTTGTATAAAAACGCAAGTACGAATAGATAGAGAAATATATATGATTTCTATTTTTTGTTTTATATTATGATTCTCTGGAAACATTAGAAATAACTCACCTTGATGAAGCTGATTGGTATCGTCTGCTTGCTTTTGCTATAATGTCGAGCGACTTTGTACACAGTTTCCGGTATGTATTCCAGGACTAGATTGAGATAAACCTCGTCCTTCTAAAAAAAAAAGAAGAGAAAAAGACAATCCTACTGCGATATTCATAAAAGCTGAGATCTGTCTACGAGTATTTATCGTCTCAAAGACACACTACTTCAAAACCAAACATCAATTATGCTATCGCTAAAAAAATATATATATATAGAATGTTCCACAATTCGCAATCTAAATTTTAATGACAAATTCTCTTTAACCAGAATTTAAAAAAGTTTTCTATTTTTATTAGCTTTTTTTAATTACTTCGATCGTAAATTTTTCTTTACTTTTTAAATTTTCTAATCTTCAACATCATACAAATATTTTAATAAATTTTAAGAATTAATTAAGGATTACTAGAATATGAAAATATTATCTTAGTAATTTATTTGTTCGAAAAATCTTTTTTTTCAGGCTATTAATATCTCAAAATCTCGGTAAAAAAATCAATAAAAAAATGTTTCAAAGAATTTGTGATTAAAATTAGTTAATTATAGCAATTATAGGCCACGTCGTTTAAATTATATTCTTCATTATCTTTCTTGGACACGCATATCGACGTCCTCATGTTATTCACATTTAAGTTAACACACACGCTTTCCAAGAAGTTACGAGATAACGAGACTAGCGAAGCAGCGTGATTTATCTAAATCCAAATCAAAAATAAAAGATTTAATAAATGACGTTTCAAAAGAATGATACGAATGTGAAGATGTATGTTCTTATGTGAAAGCGAAAATTTGCCTACGACTCTTTTTCGCCAAAAGGGGGAATTTCGCACAAACTACTGGGTGTGCTTCAACTTACGTCAACGTGAAAAACCGGATTAGTCGCGGTTAAGATGTTCTAAAAGAACATAACAATGTGGCATGCATTAAATAAACATCTTTCGTTTTATTTTATAGCACACATTATTATATAATAAATCAATAGCAACAAAATCCATAATCGCGCGCTAATCAGTGGCGGTATAATGATTAACATCGCATAATCGCATATTTTGCGTCATTTTTCCACGAGATCCTCGACGAAATGACAGAATCTTTGAATTTTTATATGACAGACAAAAGCTCCGCTTAAAATTTATAGAAGGCTTAAAGATAAGATAGTTACCTTATCACCACTAGAGTAAAAGAAATATTTGAGTTTCACAATGTTGCAGTGCTCAAGGCGTCGCATAATTTGTAATTCTCTGTTCTGGAAAAAAAAAACGTAAAAAGAGAATCTTATTATTTAATATATATTTTTTAAATTTAAATAAATAAAATAGAATAGAACGCTAAAACATGATAAAAAATAAATTAAAAGAAAATAAAATGCAGAATAAAATTATAAATATAGAATAAGAAGATAATATAAAATAACACATAAAATAAAATAAAACTAGCGAAATAAATACAAATGTGCATGAAATGTCATCTTATTATTCTACGTGACAATGCTTCTAGCACATTTTTGTATTTAGTTCGTTATTTTACCTTGTTTGTATATTATTCTATATACATATATATATACATATATATATCAGAAAGTAATATAAATATGCTTACTTTAAATCGCTTATCCTGAAGAACTTTCTTGATGGCGACCATTTCGCCCGAGTCACAGAGTTTGGCTTGGTATACCACGCCGAAGCTGCCATTGCCGATGACCTTGGTGTCAGTGTACGCGACCTCTTGAGGACGATCTGGTCCAGCACCGGGAGTCGCCACTACGGTTGTTACCTTGCTGCCATCCTTGCCTGCAGGGTACATTGCACCACCCATAGAAACAAATCGGAAAAGACCACGGTACAGGAAAAGAAGTAGAAATAAAAATGTAACACCAAATTTCCTCTAAAAAGCAGGAAATGTGCAGAAAGCCACTTTCTCAGGAATTTTCTAAGATTTGCATACGCTTCTCTATTTTACAAAAATGTAAATTGAAAAATGGCCGTATCGATAATAATCGTTTAAAAAATTTAAATAACTCGAGATTTCAATTGCATGGCGAAATGCAATGTGTTAAAATATTTGCAAAAATTTATACTACATTAAAATGTAGGGATTATATATTA